AATCCTTCTTTCCATGGTTTGCTTTTGCCAAATATTTTTGTCACAGCAACGGGAAAAGCCACTTACACAAGTGACATATTGATCTTTTGAAAAACAGGCTGCGGCAAGTCACCAGGGCCTCGTGAATTATGCATGGCTCTAGAGTCAAAAGAAAACACAGAGTGGCTAGAGGGCTCAGCAGGTAGAGGCACCTGCCGCCAAGCCCAACAACCTGAGTTCAATCCCCGGAACTCACATGGTTGAAAGAGAAACTGCCTCCCTCATGTTGTCCTCTGACCTCCACACCAGTGATGGCATGTGTGCATCCACAGACATACATACAATAAACATACACCTACGTACAATAAACAAACAGTTTCATCACAAACAGAAAATGCAGACCTTACAGATCTTCAACCGCAGATGCATCCTACAAGCCAAGCCCAAGGTCCCAGCATGAACTAAGCTGTGAGGCACACGGACAGTCAATCAGTGGGCATATGTACTGTGCCTTCACCACTTTGCACTGGCCCCTCTTTCTCTGCATGTGCCTCATCCCATACAGACAATCTTGAATGGCCAATTGACCAAGAAGGAGAAGCATGTGACTGCGCCTCACTGATGGGCTGGCTTACAAAGCGCTCTTATGTGGCTCCCCCACATGCACCCCCTCCCCCAAAAATGCATAGAAGTAACCTTCTAGCCTTATCCAGGAATAGTCTTGAAAAACAATGGCAAGGAAAACCCCCAGCCCACAGCTTTGGTGGAGCACTTGAACACTGAGTTTGTGTGGAAGACGTGGGTTTTTCAGGTGAGAGTGGCCATGGGGTAAACACATCTGCATCATATGTCAACCGCGACAAGGCAGTACACTCCGCGGGAGATGAATCACATTCTGAGTCTGTGATCTCCAAGAGAACATCCACTAGCTAACCACATGTGATGACTCTGAGCTGAAATATATCAAAGCATCAAATGCACACTGGATTCCAAATAGTAACACGTGGATAAAGCATTCCTAGTAATCGTATGTTGATCAGACATTGAAAATATACATTTGTTTAGATAAGATGTAATCAATGCCGATTTCCTTTTCAAATGTGTCTACGAGAAAATTTACAATGGCGTGCAGCTTCCTTGTAGCTCATATTACATCTGCTTTCAGTAGTACTGATATGGGCTGACTATCTTGGCTAGCTGACAGCTGCTGGCCCTGATCCTGGGCTTCCCCAGTGTTGCCATGGCAAGCTCAGGGATTGGGTGTCAGGGAAACATGAAGACACAACCTGGCCTGTGACTATGACCTACCTCTCATCAGGGAGGATAAAACTCCAGCTTCTGCCAACCGTACAGATTTCCAGACAGAGGTTGATCCTGAGCCCTGGGGATGCTGTTATTTTTCTGAAGTCTAATGAGTTACAAGGCGGGCAGTGGATCATACTGGCCCTTTGTATCCTAGAAGGATCAGAACTATTTGGGGTCTATTTCTAAATAATAGAAAAATATTTGAAGAATAAATTTGTCGTTCGTACCTGTGAGGACTCATAAGTTTGCTCTGTATTTGATATTCTGATATGGGAGCCCACAGAGTTTCACATCAGAACAGAGCAAACCCACGGAAAATGAGGTGTGAACAGAATACATTGTTATGAGAGTCATCAGTCATATACAGGCTTCAAAGCGATTGAATTTATAGCTTGTAGACAGGCCTACAGATAGTGCAGTTGAGGTGCAAATTTCGGGACAACACTCTGTAAGAATGAAGTACTATTCATTCTCTGGGTGCAGTTTGTGTATTGGGTCAAGAGCCTTTGTAAACTAATGCAGTCAGCCTTCCATATCTGCTCAGTTACATTCATGCATTCAACTAATTATGGATGAAAAATATCTGTCAAAAAATGCCTGTTACCCAAATGAGATTTTTTTTTTAGTCATTGTTTCTTAAGCAATATAGCATGCTGCTATTTATACAATATTTACATTGTGTTAATCTGGGGATGCTGTATGATATATGAGAAAATGCACAGGGGTGGTATACAATATCACTCCTCCATTACATGGAAGACACGTGAGTATCATATTGGTTTTAAATACGTGGGGATCTTGGGAGAGATTCCGCCACAGATACTGTGAGGCAGTCATGTATCATGAAAAGAACTAAGTGCAGAAGCCAAAATGGAAGGAAGATTGCTTTCCTTAATAGAAATCACTTCTTCTACCACAACTTTGCAAACTCCACAAGGCTAATGGGCCCAGTTCTTAAAGGGGATGCGCTTTAGTCAGGGGCCAAGTAGTTTATAGAAGGCTGCATTTAGGCCCTTTAGATAAGGTAAATAGTTACTATTCTAGTAAAGGTACTTGACCTTGATCATAAGAAAGAGGTGTGTCTGATGTAATACGTGGGATCAGGAAAGCAGTTCACATAGATGCCTCTTGGGCAGAGATGATGTCACCAGCCAGGTAGGTCATCATTAGGGCTGCAAGAAGTGTTAGTTGAAGACGAGAGAGAGTGGGAACTAACCATTGAAGAAAGATGTGAATGAGTGTCAGATGTGGTTCTAGAAACAGCCAGAGCAGCAAGGGCTGGAGTTGATGCTTCCTCTGCTCTTCTGAGTACCTCCCAGGAAGAGAAACTTACAGAGCCATGGGGGTGTTATTCCTTGAAATTTGAGATCTGGGAAATAGATGGAATGACACAAAGCTGGGGTACAGTCCTAGGCACCCCTACAAGGATGGACCTGTCCTCGCTTCTAAGATTGCTGCCCACAAACTGCTCAACTTCCGGCTCATCACAGACTTGTCCTCCGCAGCAGAGTGCCACGTTACCCAAGACCCCCTTTCTTACTGTAGTGTGACATTCAGTGGACATTGTGAGGGGGCTTGGGAGGCCTAGCCATTGCAGATTATCAAGGGATGACAACATGGACCAATTTTGCCCCTGATGCTCTACACACACACACACACACACACACACACGCACACACATGTACACACACACACACACACACACACACACACACACACGCACACACGAACCTGGCTAGAACTTGGGCTCATATTGAAAGCTGACAAGTCCCTCTTTTCTGAAGGGCTTCCTCCACTTGGATCCTCTTTCTCCCTCCCTCCCCCTCTTTCTTCTACCTTGTTTGAGACAGGCAGGGTCTTCTTCTTTCTGCTCCTGAATACCCCAGGGTATGTGGCCTAGAGGCTTCTGGTGATTCTCTTGTCTCTGCCTCCCATCTCACAGTAGGAGCACTGGGATTGCAAACATATCCTACTGGTCCTGGCTTTATACGATTTCAGGGTATCACATGTAGCTTCTCACACTTGTGGGGCAAGAATTTAGCCACTGAGCTAACATGCCAGACCTCTAATTATCCTTTCCTAAGAGAGTCTGCTGCCTTGCGCTAAAGAGACATACACGAAGAAGAAAAATCTTTCTTCCTGAAGTTTAACTCTCTCTCTCTTACTCTCTGTCTCTCTTATCTTTCTCTCTCTCTCTCTCTCTCTCTCTCTCTCTCTCTCTCTCTCTCTCTCTCTGTGTGTGTGTGTGTGTGTGTGTTCCAAGAGACTCTGGAGGAGGGAATAAGTTTATAAACAAGTTCAATGAGACTAAAGGGTTTCCAATAAACATATGTTTGTAGCCCAGCAGAGCTGGTTGTCCATGCTGAGCAGAATCAGGATAACAATATGACAAAAGGGACACTAGAGTCTTCTGTTGACAATGAAGTAGATGGTCATTTGAATTGTGGTGGCTGCCGCGATGAGTGTGGGAGTGGCATTCTGGACACATGGGGCAACTGATCAGCAACAGGGGAAGCTGGGTTGCATGTGATAGCCAAGCAATCTATTTTGTGGGTCAGGGGACTCAGGAGAGGCAAAAAGTCTGATTAAAAAGAAAAAGGTTGGGAAAAGTTGGTTGTGTCCGAATCTCAGGACACCTTGGAAGGCATTTTAAAGAAGGTAGATTTCATTCTATTGTCAGTAAGGATGGAAGATATTTAAATAATATGATCAAGCCGGAGTTAGAGTATTTTCAAACAACTTCATATAATTTAACTCTCAAGATCTAGTATCCAGATAGAAGCAAATGCCCTGCCTTTGACAGGAGTTTAAAGAATGAGGTCTTTCTTTGTTCTGATCCTAATAAAATTGCTTTGATTATCTTGCTTGAGTGAACACCTCTAAGCAGATAGGCATATATAAGAATCTTTGCATGTGCATGCTCTCAACATCCTATCACACCACTTTGGCTTTAAGCAAAGCAAAAAATAAAAATTAAAGAAAAAAATCCTATACAGTTGAATTAAAAGACACTTAGTTCCAAGACAGTGCACTTGTTTTTGTAACAACATCCTCTGATATTTCACTTACGTCGAGCTCCCTTTGGTGTTCATGTTTGTTTACACATCATTACTTGATGAATGGGTTGAGAAGCTGAGAAGGAAAAGTGTGGTACACATCTACACTCTGGGATCAATCATAATAAAGTTAACACATTATTGAAATGATAACGTAATGAGCCATTTTGTAGAAACTGCCTTCTCAAACAGCTTTTTAGGAATGGTATCAGTGACACTGGAAGGAGGTGTTGGTGTGTGCGCGCGTTTGCATGTGTGTGTGTGTGTGTGCTTGCACGTGTATGTGCGCTTCAGAAGACAACCCTCACTGTCATTCTTCACTTATGCTTACTCATTTTCTAATGAAAAGATCTCTTACTGGCCCACAGCAGTGAGATGTCAGGCAGGCTGACGGTGCCCCCAGAGAGCTGCCTATCTCTGCCTTTGCAGGGCTGAGATGAACACGGTGGGGATCACTCCTTGCTCTTTAATGTGGGTTCTGAGGATCAAACTCGGTCCTTTTGCTTGTAGGACATGTACTTTACCACCGACGCTATTTGTCCAGTGCCCAGCGTGGGTGTTCTGGTAGGCACACGAGTGTGAAGGAAGGCGGAAGACACTGATGCTCAGGACACAAGGGCATCCCTTTTACACAAGCAACAATAAAAACCCAACAAGAGCTACAACTTAGAAACCAGTTTTACTCTGTTGCAAACAAATGGACAAGCTATTGTACAATATATAATAAAAAGTACAGCACAATACAAGTGCCACTAATAAAAGAAACTTAATGATCAGACTTAAAAATGCTTATTTGTAATAGATATATGTATATATATACATACACACACTGCAACAAAAAGCCACAATAAATACAGGAATTTCCATGTCATTCATAATAAATACTGAAAATATAAATACAGAGGACTACAGCTAATATGAATAAATTATTACAACATAAGATCCAGGATAAATTCTGTTGAATTTCATTGTAGCTTATTTTATATCCCCTTTGGCATCTTTGATGTCACAACTTGTACACAAGAAAAATCAGTTTAGAAACTGTGATACACGGCATGACATCATACTGTAAAATGACTGTATGGATGGCAGTTTGATTTTCTTCCCTTTCAACCTTACAAGTCATCAGAATGCACATAACAGCAATGAAGTAGCTAGTGAAGATCTATTGGGTAAAAGCAATGATACAAATCAGTTGAAAGACAAAATTCAATCAACCAATGTCAAAATGTACTTTATAGTTCTGTGGCTTTTCTGAATTTTCAGTGATGCATTTCTCCCCTGCTAGCTTCCAACAGGCCAAAAATCAAACACCCGAAATAAATACCCTCAATAGACTGCCTTTGTCTAAGGACTATTCCTAATGCATAATGGGTGGTTCAGCACAGGAGGATACATGAGTCCTCGGGATCCCGTGACCTACTAACACATTCAGTTCACAACATCTTACCAGGGTTTTCAAATGGACCAAGTTCCTACAGCAGCTTGCAAGCGGAAACACGGTGGATGTCTAAGACTATCGTCTAGACAAAGACACTGCAAAGGGTGACAACCAATTGTGTACATGGGTTTTAGATGTGGAAAACATTTTGCTGACCAATGCCAAATGACCTTCCCTATCAAATTCATATACCCTGTGACGCTGAGGGAAACACACTGAAATAACAAAGTGCCTTTTCTGTATTACCAGGCATTAATCAGTACATAGGCGTTAATAGCTCTACCTTAGGCGATTATACCAAAATGCAATAAACTAAAGGGAACGCAGAGAGATATTACTAAGACACAACGAAGGCTGAGTTCTTAGGAACAGAGATGTCATCTACAGGCTCAGGTTTTTCTATTTCTGTACTGTACTTTGTCTAGTATTTATCATACAGCATCAAACACCTTGGAAACATGTTTCACAAACGACGCCTCAGACTTTTTTCTGTTGAGGTGCCTAGAGTCAGTTCAAACATCGGCCAAATTTTATTCACCATTCATTACATCAGCATTCTACAGAAACATCTTTTTTTTTTTCTTTTTTCTTTTTTTCTCGGAAACTAAGAGTGTCACTAGGTCACTTCCCCGTAGTGTGACTCATGGGGACCAAGTACATTGATGTGACTGCCATTTCACACAGGCACCTAGGTGGGGAAAAGCAGCCATATTGAGATTGGACAAGATCCACGGAAGAAGGCAACCCTGATGTCCAGGGTGGTCCTCAGCTTCCCGTTGGTGCTCTTTCTGAGTTGCAGGCAAACAGAAACGCTCTGAAAGCTGCAAGGAGTGTCTGGGACAAGTGATGTCATTGGGAAAAAGGAGAGAGAGAGAGAGAGAGAGAGAGAGAGAGAGAGAGAGAGAAAGAGAGAGAGAAACCAGAAACAAAATCAAACATTACCCTTTTCCAGAATGCCTCATTTAGTTTACAAGCCTTTTCAAGAAGACAATTTTTTAAATCACTTTCCTGATTCCTGAGAATGCAAGCGCCCATTGTTTACATAACATCCTCATGTACACAGGCTGGGATTAAATAGCGACTGAGTTGATTCTTTGGAGACATTTTATTCCGGATCAGATTCTTCAAAGACAGTCAAGTGTTCTCCAGAAGGAGAAGAAAAAGTCTAGAGTCTTATTTGTTACTTATGCTAAGGAACAAGTAACAAGAAGGTACTTGTTCACAAGCAAGCACATAGAAAAATGCCCCCCTCCCCTTTTTTTTCAGAGAACTGAACATTATAAAAGTCAAATCACTTGAGTTTAGTTCTGATGCTCGCTGCTGGGACCTAAACCAGTCACTCGCACAGACATGACAGTGATTTTTCAGAAGTAAATATGAATGAATAAAAGCCTTTCCAAAACCTGGCTACATGACTAAGTGTTTGAGTACAGTCGTTTTCTTTTAGAATTTGATTTCTGGAGACATTTGGGGAGTCATCTTATATACTGATCATCAAACAAACAGAGAACCCAATTTCTCCAGTCTTTCGGTACAATTGCCACAACTGTTACCTGATACCTCATCCACAAAGACGGACCAATATAGGTTCTTATCATGAGAAAACCGGAAAGAGTTGGATTGTGTTGCCTAGGAAACCGTCAAGTAGAAATGGGTATCTGTGCTGTTGGATATGCCTGAGTAACAGTTCTCCCCAGAGGTCGATGAAGGAGTCATGTGACCTCTGGCGAGCTCTCTTGGGCTCAAGCCTATACAATCTGAATAACATAGAGGAATCTCAAATCTCCCATTACTCATGCTTAGTTGGCCTTTGTGAATATCTTTAAGAAGATTAAGCTGTCCTAAGTTGCCTGTTAGGCATGACTAGAGCCTAACAAATCAGGGTTCAGATAGTATACCCTGGCAGTAGACTGTGATTAATTGTGCCAAAAAAAGAAAGACAAAAAAAAAAAAACGAAAGAAAATCAAGATGACTTTTGTAGCTATTAAAATTTAAAATCTATCAAGCCCAGATATCATTTGGGTACCATTTCAGAACTTAAGTACAAACACTATTTTTTTTAAGGGCAACAATTTATTCCCAAGTATTAGATATACTTTCCTCTTTAGGGAAATTCAGATTTAAAATTGAGCATTTTCTTTTATTCATATTTAAATACTTTCATAATTTACATAGTTCTTTGAATTTGTTTTCAATAGTGATAGCATTTCTACGAAAAGGGAGAAAAATGGATGTTTAACATGAAAAAGAGCAAAGCAATACTGCATAAAATGCACGACAAATTCCCTCTTGATCTCTCTCCAGTAGAGAGATAACAATTAAACTCCTTTAGGGGCACATGACTCAGACAGGAGGGTGAGGAGTCTCATTTCGTACACAGTAAGGATCGGCACAGATAGAATTTTCTAGATAATTTTTAAAGAGACCCCTTAAAGTTCAGTTTTCTTCCAAGAACTCATTAATACATAACGTTCAGGTTCATTCCAAGCCAGACCAAAAAAATTGGAAACAGAGTTAAAAAGAAATAAGACATTTAACTGTGAAGCTAATTTAATGCTCCAACTAAAAATCAATAGTCATGTAAATCAATTTTGACAAAAAGCAAGGCTGATTTCTACCCCATTTATCTCCTCATAGACTTTTCCAATCAATATACATTATCCTTAAAAATACGTAGACGACCTTGCACACCTGAGGAAAAGTTCAGTTTGAGCTGACTTGGCTCTCAGTATGCTAATGAGACAGGCTGGGGAACTGCAGCAAGCCTGCTGAGCAGGTCGGCTGCTTACTTCAGTCATCCTCCTTGACAAGGTTAGTCCTGCCAGCTTCCGTGAAAGTTAAAATAAAATAACAATAAAACCGTCTTTTCTTAAAATGTAAGCAAACACGAAGGGCCAGATGCCAAGCAGTAGTCCTGCGTCGTGAAGGCCAGCGGTAAGGAAAGAAAACGGCAACCTTCAGGAAGTAAACCTTCGGGGTGATTTCTATTCCCATAGGTAACAAATCTCTGCATGCACTAACATTGCAGCTCCTATGTTAAAGAGAAATTTTTTTTAAAGATCCCGTAAACACAATGCTGACAAGGCATCCCAGTTTGGGGCTCTGGAGCTCATTGCTACTCTCTCCTTGGGGTCCTCACTCTACCTGACTTTCTATGACCCCCATGGCAGGCAGGAGAGCATACAGTTAGACTTGCCCTACTAGGTACTAGGGACTACCAGAACACCCAGGCAGTACCAAGTTTTCAGGTTCACGTTTCTGGTGAGCAACAAAAGAGAAAGACACCCATGCTGCTTAGAAGACACTGGGTCTCTAGTCTCGTTTGAGGAGTCCTGGCACGGGAGGAACTGAGGCAAAGCTTACGAAAGACTGGTTCAGAGCCACGTTTGCTAAAGAAGAATTCTCCTTCCAAATAAACCTCACTTTTGTCAATAATGTTGTTAGCTGTTTCATTGCTTAGCGTTTAGTGTGCGTGCATGTGTGTTTAGAGTCTTTCTTTGGATTGCTGGAGGTCGATGTTCTCATGTTTTAGAGAGCAAACCACCACTGCTTTGGATGTTGGCCAGCAAACAGGCTGGGACTACCAACTGTGCTCTGAGATCAGCCACATCAGCAGTGACTTCCCTGGTTTTGGAGGGCCTGCCATTTATGACCCTCGAGATCACTAATCCCTGACCCAACTCTGCTGAGACATACTTATTGACAGTTCTTAGCAGACACTGTCAGTTCCAAACTCACACTCTGTTGGAACCCCTCTCCTGTCCCTTTCAAAACTGTAGTGAGCCTTCAAATCGTGGTTCTCAGTCAGTTCAATTCTGTCATGCCACAGATGATGGCTGACGAGCTGGTCCAAAGCTGTGACAGCTGGGCATCTCCAGCACAAGTTTACAGTTCTTGGGGAAAGGATACAAGCAAATTCAGGTTCACATTACGAGTGAAAAAGGGAGCCAGCCTTGCACTTTGGGTATTGACCATGGCCACAATACAACAAATAGTTACAATTTCAGGTTACCGTCGCTCTGACTATGAAAGCATAAAGGTGCCTTCCATTTACACTTGCCGTCTTATATGTCAGCGACAATGACTGTAAACTGCACTGGATTGTAGCCACAGGTGAAAGGAGGAGGTCACTAGTGACCTCCCTCATTTTCTATCTGCTTCTAGGCAATGCTTTGGGTGCAGGTGCTACCATTTAAATTGTCTGTTTATAAAACGAGTATGAGGTCACGTCCCACACTGCTTCTAAAGTTCTCTGGGTTCTGTAGGAGTCAAAACTGCTGGGACTTAACTGGCATAGAGCTGACATTTTCTTAGCTAGCTCTGCATCCAAGAAACAACTCTCTGAATATCTTTTCCCCGAGTCCAAATTGATTTCCTAAGTTTCAGGAGGATGCAGTAAGTTCCATAACTATAGGGAAAAGCAGTTCCTTTTAGAAGCCGCTTGGGCAGAATGAGGAGAGTCGGTGACGGTGTTTCTCCCACAGAGCACCGGAGGATTCCATGTCAAAGGATCTGGCCTGGCTTGACTACCTCCCGCCACCCTCTGTCGTCCTCACCCTTCCAAATATGCAGTTCCCCTGCTCTCTTTGCCACCAAGTCAGCAGCTATAACACTGGAGGTATTCAATAAATATTTGTTAAAAGGGAAAAACCCCAGGTTCTTATTAGCACATTCTGAGGACCAACACTAAGTCCTTAAGAACTTCTACAAGGTAACAATTAAAAAGTGAGCTATCAATTAGGAAATAAATTATGGTACATATTCTTGTTTAATGAAATCAAAATCAAAATTTTGCCTGGATGGTAATCAGCATAACCTCTGCATGTCTTGGGAATTTCAGCACATTTCTGTAACTGTTGCTGTTGGGTAGGAGCATGCCAGAGGAGATGGTACTGCCGGGTCATATGATTACACGGATTTCATCCCTTGAGGAAATGTTGGATTTTTTATATGTGCTTGGCATGTCATGATGAGAAAAACGTGATTCCCTCACAAAGACTGGTTTTCAAAAAAGTCTATTCTTCAATCTACTAAAAGAAAAGAGACAACTGTATTTTAAATAATTGATGGGGGGGACTTAAAATGGCCTTTGATTTCTTTTTATCAATGATAATTTAAAAGGGGATGAGGCTGATGAGGCCACTTGACTCACAAATCAATTTGACCAGGAATACAGCTGGGGATCAAAGCTGGAAAACAATAGGGTGTGAAGTATTGGGCTCTGCCATTGACAGTGCATGGCTTGGGAACTGTGCACACAAAGACTCCGACTGGTTAGATATACCATGCAATGCAACAGCGGCAGGCCTTATCATTGCGCCTCGGTGCAAAGACTTAAGGAGGCTGGACCCGGCTGCATCCAACTGCAACCTCCCTTTGGGAAACAGAAAGAACTGTAGCACTGGCCTCACACGGGGGCAGTTTTTTTTTTTTATCAACTAGAAGGTCTATTAATGGGAAGAATGTTCCAGAAGAATCATTGTATTCTCAATTTTTACTGGGAAAGGAAGACGCAGGAGATAATTCCTCACTAGTATTATTTGTCACTTTAACCCAGCATTTTCTATCAATTGCTTTCAAATTTTTCTTCTGTATTTTTATATAAACTGCAATCTGATAGTACTGTAGGAACTAACTATCCAGTACTCCTTACTAGCTACTGGCTAAAATCTGTCCCAATCTAAGGTACAGGACACATGTATTCTGTGTTTGTGTGTGTGCAGCACAGATAAAGTAGGTAGGGTTTTAGTTGTTGTTAAAATAGGTAGCCTGTACCTATTGTGATTCGCAAGAGATGTCAGTGAATGACTTAGGTATGTGAAACACTGGAATGGCGGCTCTCATGCTTAGAAAGGTAATTATCCTTAGCAGAGTGAGGCTTTCTATCCCAACTGAATAGAGAGAGGAAGGAAGCTCTGTGTTTGAAGTGTCCTTTTGGGGAAAATAAAGCTGCGGAAGAGAAACCCAGCCAAATACACAAAGGCAGGACTCAAGTCTTGTAAATACAATGCTGAACTGAAAGAAGTATCTCTAAGGGTTCAGGGATTGGACTGCCGTGACCCCCTTCAACTCCACCCTAGTCAGGGTTGCCCTGTACTTTCCCGCTCTCTGTCCTAAGAACAGCCCGAGAGTGCCTCACCAGTCGATACTTCCAGAGGTTGGAACGGTCAAGCACACACTGAACACGGAATTCCTTCCCTTGCTTGAACGAAGAACAGCAGCCTATTGTCATTTCCCCCGAGTCCCTACTCTTTAGACTGCGTAGGCAGGGGTCAGGGAGGCTGGAGAGCAAACACTACAAGTAACTCTGGTCTAGCACAATCAGAGCATGCGTCCGTCACAGCAGCCCCACCAATCCACCACAAGGAGCCACCTGACCCCACTGTGACTTTCTCGAACACAGCCAACGCAAAAGGCTGCTAATGTTAGTAATAATTAGTGTTGGCTTGGCCTTGAGGTGGTGTAGAGGTGGGCAGGAACCAACTCCACAAGCAAACACCCTTTCACCATATCAAGTTTAAAGAGAAACTTCTCACGGGAGGATTCCGAAGCCCACTGACGTTTGGCCAAATGAAATAAGTTGTGAGGAACTGAAATCTGTTAAGATATTAAAATGCCCAAATTTAGGAGGCATAGAAAACATTAGGAATGCAGCTACTACATAGCAGGGTGTGTTTCCATCTTAAATAGTTGTAAAACAGGTTAAACAATGTAGCAATAGGATGTCAAAGCTAAGAAACGGACTCAGCATAATCATGGCATTGGGGAAATGCTAGCGCTTGTTCTAGAGTTATGTAAGCTTACAGGAAAAGAGTCCTCCCGGGCACCAAGTAGGCAATCCAGCGGAAGGCGGGGCATGTGTCCTTTCTCTTCGCTAGGCAGGAGAAGGTGAGTGTGTGTTTCTTTTCTATGCTTTCTCTTTACTAGGCAAGAGAACACAAGGTTGCTGCCTTTGCAATGCATTATGGACTGTGGGAATAACTGTCCTCGGCAAGACCAATAAAAACGCTTCAGGAAAGTCAGGCCTCACGAGTGAATGAGTGCAGGCCTGCCTTCAATCAGCTAGCGGCTAAGTGGAAGTCTCATGACATGGTTTTGCTTTTGTAGAGATGGGTTGATCACGGTGTAGAATAGATTGGTTTCTGAGGCTGTGTTCGTCTGTTTTTTTCCCCCCAGCCTCCTCTGTGTTACAGAGTTAAATCCTCGGAGCGGTGAAGAAAAACAGGCCATTTTCCTTCACACCACTGGAAGGATCCTCTACCTCTATTGTATGAACCTCACAATAGTCGACTTTTTTTTTTATAAGTAAAAAGTTTTGATTTCAAAGCGTTCTGAGACCCCACCCCACGCGAGGTACCGAGAAGGGGCACTAAAGTGCATTTTGATGGAGGGGGTGGAGTTTAAAGGTGCAGTCAAAGCTAATAAGATGACACTGTTTAAAAAAGAAAGGCAATTCCATCTCTCTCGGCCGAGGGAGGGCAGCGAACTGGACCCTCACCAGAGGATTGTCCTGACTCTGAACTTTAGAGAGAACTGTGTAAGGACCTGCACATATATATAGACTCATTTGTCCCACATAGCAAAAATAGGCCTATGTCATCCTTAAGAAAGTATCTGCAAATCTGCTTAGTCAGGATCATAAAAACGTGGGCAGAATCCAGGTGCAATCCTCGTGGGCATGCTCTGTGGAGCTAGCTAATGCAACGGCAGCTTCAGTGAGCGTGCTGTTCATTTTCTTCAAAGCATGACTTCTAAACTACCGGAAAGAAAATACACAAGAAACAATTCAATCTTTTTTTTTTCTGACAATCATTACTTTTACATTAAAAAGTCACCACCATCTTCAGATATATCGAAAATTAGGTCTCTAAATCTGATTATTTTTCTAGTCTTAGTTAACAATCTTGCACAGGCCCGACAATCTAAGACGTGGAGCTATGGTCTGCATAGCTCGGCAGGTTTCACACAGTTTGACGGGTAGGCAACTGTGAGATATGTATTATTATTTTTTTAAATTTAGCATTTTTTTTCTATCAAAAACAGTTCAAAATCGTTTAAAATCCCCATAGCGACTGTGTTTTATTTGTGTCACGCCACAGTTGGGAAGCTAGAAAGGAGGAAAAGAAATCCTGTCTGGAAGTCATCCCAGTCCACGTTTTCTTGGTCTTCCGGTTAAACAAGGGTGAGCCCAGCAAATGCAATACAATGCCTTAAATAGAAGACTCGGTACTCTAATAGAATAATCTAAGCAACTAAACGGGGACCGTCTCCACCACGGGGGACTTAATGCACTCCTCGTGCAGGCGGCTCTTTTCGGCAAGGCTCAGGGAATTCTCGGCAGGATGCTCGGAAATGTGGCTGTCGCCGCCGTTCAACGCGGAGACGAACCCTTCCTGGGAAGGGCCTTTCAAGTACGAGTGAAATTCCACTTGGGGGAGACTGGGCCTGTGTTCGGGGTACAAGGTGTTACAGGGCACCCCACTATCATTTTCGGAAGTGGGGCAGCAAACAATGACAGAAGGGTTGGCAGCTGGGTAGTGGGAGGCCCCGTAGGCCTCTTCCGCTTGTCTGGCATAGTCAACGAATCGCTCTGGGGTCATGGCGTAAGGCACCAGCGACAGGGCACCGTTTTTGACAGTATCTCTTTCCGAATAGCTGTCAGAGATCTGGCTAGGGGTTCCTGGGATGTGGCTATCTATTTGGTAGTAGAGGGTTGAAGAGCTAGCGTAGAACGAAGCGTTCTTGGTGTGGCCTTCATGAACTGCGGTGCCATCCGAGTAACAAAGAACAGAAGGAAGAGGGACGACTTCGGCATGGGCTCCCAGCCCTTCTACAAAGCTGTCTCCCTTGTCGTCCTCGTCATCTTCTTCCTCCTCCTCCTCTTCCTCCTCCTCCTCCTCTTCCTCCTCATCCGATTCACTGGGGGCCAGGCTTTGTGTGCTGGAGTCAGTGACTCCGCTGCAGAAGCTGCTCCCATCCTCCTCCTCTTCCTCCTCCTCTCCCTGGCAATCCAGCTCCTCCTGCAGGTGCAGCACGGCAGCCTGGGGTTCCGTTTCAATCTCGAAATTGTCTGCGATGGAGTATTCTACCGAGTGAGCGACGACGGGGCCCATGGAAGTACCGTGGGGGCTTATCTCACCGTGGCAGCCGTTCAGCGTGGGGATTTGCTGCTCGCGATTTTTCTCGAGTTCAAGTTTCATGATTGTGTGCAAAAAATGAGTCCGGACACGGATAGGATTAAATTCAATTCTACCTGCTGTGTTGCTACAGCCTTCTTTAGTGCAGCCGCATGGGAAAGACATACGATCCACCTTGGGAGGAAGAACACCGATTAGCGCCATGGAATTATTACAGACCAAATAAAATCAAGGGCTTTCTAACAACTCCTCTGAATTAGGTAATGCACTGGAGCTCTACTTGCGCCACAGCTGATGAGGAATAAGCTGCAAGTAAAAAAAAAAAAATGAGCAGGGGGAGTGAAGACTTTTCAACGAGCAGGTCTTAAATGCATGTTTAAAAGAGCGGTGAGTTGAGGATGTAAGTGAGAATTTAAATTTCATTGCGTCCTCCAGGGCGTTCTTATTTTCCTCTCTCTACTTTTCCTTCTCTTTTTACATTTGATTTTGGTCCCAATTTACAACCCTGGTTCCCTTCCGTTGCATTCCAACGCGTCCACCCACTTTTAAAGTCACACATAGACCGCTTTTCTTTAGGCTACTAGTCTAATTTAACATCCATGACAGGCCCGCCAAGCTACTATGTTCTTTCCTTTGCATCTAATGAGATGACCTTCACTGCTCCAGGTATCTGGGATGACACTACCCAGGGGCCACACACTGCCACCCTGCTATGGTCTCACTGCTTTGTCTTCTCAATGGGTCCTTGTGTTACAGAATATCTTTACACCGTGTGAAGATGTGTTGCTGTGAATGGTGTAATAAAAGGGCAAATGGTCAATTGCTAGGCAGGAGAGGACAGGCAGGACTGCCAAGGAGAGAGAGGAAGAGGAGGAGGAATCTACGTGTGCAGGATTTGCCAGCAAACTTGGAGCAAGTTGGACGTGCTGCCCTGAAGAGCAGTAACTGGACCACATGACAGAATGTAGATTTAAAATATGGGTTAATTAAGTTATAAGAGCTAGTTGGGAAAAGCCAAAGCTAAGGGCAAGATTTCATAATGAATAATAAGTCTCTGTGATGTTATCTGTGAGCTGGAGGCCCAAAGAAAAGTCAGACTACATCCTTGACACATGGATGCAGGTCCCTCGACCTGCTTCTCACGTAAGACTAGAAGCCCAACTCAAATGGACTTACCTTGTGCCAACAAATGCAACAGCAGGGAATCAGAAGGCCTGTAAGCTGAAGACCAGCGCAGGCAACTTAGTAAAACCCTTTCTTAAAAGAATATAGTTTTCAAACATGTGCTTAACGGGGGTAGAGCACTTGCCTATTGTGTCTGCGAGGCACCATCCTCAACAGAGAAAGGGAACGGAGGGAGGGAATGAAAAAGACAAATGTGTCTTCATCAGCTGAGTGGAAGAGAACGATCCTTTGCTCTCAGCGGCTAACGTAAAGGAATAAAGCTATTCCTGCAAAGTACCCAATCACAGCGCTCCACCTGTAGGCGGACAGGAGCCGAGAATCACCTTGACCAGGAATTGGTAAACTATTGCTTTTCTTCCCCATCAGGCTAAACTTTGAGGTTTTAAACAGTGTAATCACCAGGTGAGGCTCATGAGGCAGTTCCCACTGTTGCTCACATAAAAGTCAAGTCTGAGGCTCTGTGGAGCGAGACAGACTTTTCATTGTTCAGGAGGATATTCCCAGAGAGCAAAAGTCCTCTCTTACTCACTTCTTTCTCACATTCCTCAAGCCAACCTTGTTGCCACAATAAGACAGACTCCCTGTTCTTGTTAAGGAAACCTTAGCAGCCCTGAGTCAACGCTGCCCATGGTAGCTTTGCTTTATTTTCATTGACTAAGAATGAGACCATTTGGGGTTTTGCAGTTTTGTCGTCTCAGTAATTTGAAGAGTGAAACTGGCCACAAGTAACGGATAAACACAGGGGCTGGGCCCCAGTCCACCTTGTTTACAAAAGTGTGTCAGGTGAGACTCCCCTGTGAGTTCGACAGCATCTCAACCTACATTTCAATGTAGAAATGACATTGAGTGCAGGGTTTCCCTGGAAACCCTACCCCAGACAAGGTAAGAATGCAGTTTAGTCTTTTAAGGTCTGCCTGACTAGGGACTTCTCCAGTAGTCCATATCACTGGTGATGAATTATTATTTTATATCCCATGGATGGACCAGAAAGTATGCACTCAAGTGCAACAGACGGGGTCCTCTCCCATGTAAGAGAAGAGTTAAAATAAGCTGCTGTAAGGACAGAATCTGGGAGGGAATGCCTCAGCAAACTCAGCTGCAGTTTGAGTTTCCATTTACACCATACACACTATGCATGAGCGTTTTATGAATGCCCTTGAATTGGGGTTTCTTTGCCCTTGAGTTATGTGTCTTTCCTTTCCAGCCCAATTCTTCTCCAGGTTAAAGAGAGAGAAAAAAAAAACTTAATATACCCAACATGACTGCTTCTTTCTGGGGTGACATGAGACATCTCTTCTTCAGATGCTCTGAAATGCCAATCCTTACCTGACACTTAATGCCTGCCAGGCTGCAGGTACATGTTTCTGGATCACAGAACACTCTGCAGTCACAGCCACAGTCCTCCCGAGACAGGCGGATGGCCCGCAGCTCGTGTTTTTCTTCCACGTCGATCTTCTTCACTCCGGAGGCGCGCAGCAGGGCTCTCCGCTTTTTTGTGGGCAGGGGTTGTAGGAAGAAGTATTCGTCTACTTCTGTGTTGTCTAAATCGATATCATCATCGGAAATGTCATCGACTGTCAGAGTGCTCGCTTCTTCAGACTCCACTGTGCCATTCTTTGTCATCTGGAGACAGAAGGAAGTAAACAAGGATGTCATTTGGGCAGAGGCCAAAGTCCCCACTTCAGCGTGGGTGAGGACGAGCTGAGCTGTCGCGCGCTGAGTCTGCAACCACGGAAGTCGGAGGAAAGGGAACAGCAATGTCAAAACAGTTGGCTTTTTTAAAATCTCTGCTCACAGACAATGGCTGAATGAAACTCTTCACCTCCTTAAGTCAATGACTGCAGTTACAGCTTGATAGGCCAGAGTGTGAACCGGTCAGAGGTTACAAAACAGCGCTGCCCGAAAGCTGTTTTTACACTCAGCCCATGGTGACATCTCTGATGTCAGAGGAAATGTGCCCTGGATCAGAGGTGACAGCATCTCAGTGGGAGCCATGACTACCTTACTCAGCAAACATCATGTCCTTGGAATAAGATGTCTGTCTTCCAGGCCCCAGCAAAGTGCACATTCAGGACCCAGGGTTGATGTGCTGCCTGGGTCACAAACACCGGTTATTACCCAGAACACTCCAGGAAGAGACACTTGATAGACGTAATAAGCCAGGTCAGCATGCTCTCAGTTAAACAAGGACATACATTAGTGCTGGCAAGGACTCATCAGTCCGCCACTGAGACAATAAACCGGATTCTCACAGGAGTGTGTGCAAACCTCGGACCAAAGGTTTGCAATCCACGCAACAGCTCTTGTGAACACTCATTCCTTGGTTACTCATGATGGCTGTGACTATTTATATTTCTTTTCGATATTAATCTCATCCATCAGTAAGCCCTGGGTATGTACTTCATTTGCTATTATTATAAAAACACTGATTGCTTCCCTCATACAAAACATTTAGAAGTTTTCCCCAATCATAAGCATGAGGGGGGGGAGGAAAAGGAGCAGCCCAGTAATAAAGGCAGAAACTTCATAAGAAATAAACCATGTGAGTTTTAAATATGGAAGGTATTTTTAATTATTTAATTTATTGCCTTCCAAATTTTATTAATTATGGCTATTATTATGCCTGATCATCTTGACGATTCATCCATTAGACAGTGAAAATACTCTAGATACATCAGACATGATGCTCTCATCTTATAGGAATCCATATTTAGAGAGAAATATTTATTATTGGACAGTAGACTTGAACTGTCCAACTCTGAGTGTACTGCAGAGCAACACTAAAAAAAAATGTGTACCCCCAAGACACATTGCAAAGGGTCCCCGTGGCATGCTTTCAAAAGCTATTTAGTTATGTATTGTATTTTAGCTCTTGAGCCTGTGATCTCTCAAAGGTCTTATTATTGGGCATTGTTTCTTAATAGGATCCATTATTCCCTCCCCTGGCAATTGTGGGAAAGTGTGCATATGTGGACATGTATGTGCAGGGGTGCCTGTGTGTGTAAGTCAAGGATTGGATGATCTTACTCTACTTGTCTCCATGTTAGTTTTTTTTTAAAAATATTTATTTATTATGTATACAATATTTTGTCTGTGTGTCTGTCTGCAGGCCAGAAGAGGGAATCAGATATCAGTTCAGATGGTTGTGAACCACCATGTGGTTGCTGGGAATTGAACTCAGGACCCATGGAAGAGCAGGCAATGCTCTTAACCTCTGAGCCATCTCTCCAGCCCTCCATGTTAGTTTTTGAGGGTCTCTCACTGAAACTGGAGTTATAATGGATCCCCAGGATCTGTCTGCCTCAATTTCCTGTCTCTGCTCATTATACCCAGCCATTTATGTGGGAGCTAGGGATCTAAACTTAGGTCCTTAGGTTTGTGTCAGAGAGACCTTCTGACTGAGCCTTCTCCCAAGCCTGGCATCCTGGTTAAACCGTGACGCCCAACACCAAGGTGTTACCTTGGATGCGGCTAGCATTTCTGTGCATCCTCACTTACTAGCAAGCTGCATGTTCCCATGTATAAAGATCTGAGTTCTCTGAGAAATTCAAACGCATAGCCATCTAGTGCACTGGGTCTTCGCTGAGTGAACCTTCATGAGAGTCAGAGTGTTCCCTTTTTCCCTTCCTATTCCTCAGTGAACTCAGCCTGGGCTATGCAGTGAAACTTTTTTCACCAAAAAAAAAGAAAGAAAAAAGAAAGGAGATTTTAGCAAGCATATAAAACTACAGCAAAACTATGAGGCTATCATAACCAATTGGCACCTAACAATTAAGAAGAAAATTTAAATATCTGTATGTCTGACTGAAGATTCAGTTTGTCCTTAATAATAAATTCTGGATCTTGTATAATCCATATCTTTCAGTTAAAATAAATAATTTCATTTCAAAATAAAAGTTTTAGTAAGGATTGAAATTCCTTTTCACATAGCTACACCATCCTGTTTCCACTCTTGTTCAAGAGGTATAATCTTTTATTTTTCAGAATAACCTGCAACACTGAGGTGATCTTTTGAGGTTTACTTCCCAACTCTTCAAGATCTTTTGTTTTTGTTTTCTTTGTTTTGTTTTGTTTTGTTTTTTTCTTTGTGATTTTTCCAAGATAGGGTTTCTCTGTAGCTTTAGAGCCTGTCCTGGAACTAGTTCTTGTAGATCAGGCTGGCCTTGAACTCACAGAGATCCTCCTGTCTCTGCATCCTGGGTCAAGATCATTTCTAATGAAGACGGAGGACAATCTAGCTGAGCTTGGATAATTGGCCATGTGACCCAGTTTCTGGTTTCTGTGTTCCTCCTATTAGTTGCTTTTCCCCTCTCTGGTCTATGCTGTAGGAGCTCACAGAAAGCACCACAAGAGAAGAAGGGCTCATTTAGGCTTACCGTCTGACAGGGCTCAGTCCACCATGGCACGGAAGCACGGTAAGGGGGATGTGAAATAGTTTTTCACTGCAGCGAATACCCAGAAGCAGAGAGCAGGTAGCTAGCTCTATCTCTTCCCTTCCTATTAACCCTGCGAGCTAATGCCAGTTAAAGGGTTAACACACACACACACACACACACACACACACACACACACACACACACACACAAAGTCAAGGCTTAAACTACCCAGTTTAACTACTCTTTAAGATTTGAGTGATACATGTGTTGCTTTCAAACACATCTCCAGAACTGAGAGCAATACAGGAACAAGCCAAAAAGCTCCCATCTTCCCCTTTCCACCCCAATACCTCTCTATTCTGTTCTCAAGATCTGCTACAGAGAAATTCAGGGGCTCATCCAGGCTTGCCTCTTTGCTCTATGTCCATCGTCACTGGGAAGAACATTCGGGTTCTGTAGAATTTCTCTCCCGTGATATGAGTGCTACTTTCATGTGTTTTTCCTACCTCAAAACAGAATCATTGAACTGTCAGACTTTTGTCTTTGGTCTTTAAACGGAGCTTCTGTATTTTATACACAAACGAGACCCAGATTTCTTGTGACCTCTCCAGTGCAGACTGATATGAACCAACTCCCATTTCAGGGCTCTTTGCCTGTATCTCAGAGACGTAAAGGTCCTACTGGTACCTCGAATAATTTTGGGACAAGCTAATACACTCATTTGTTGACTGGATGATTTTAATTTGAAGTAGTTAAATTGAAAGTGCTTGTTATTGGATATGCTATCTTAAGTATAAAATAACTTTTTAGACACATAGCGTACACAATAACAAGTACTTTCAAATATACACTCAAAGCCATATAAAGCCCTCTAGAGTAAATCTTTGCCAACTATATGATCAAGCATTAATATATAAAGCATTAAAGATTAACCAATCCAAATTAAAATCATTCAATCAACAATTGGGCATGTTAACTAGTCAGTTCCCAAAAAATACAAATGGTCAATAATTACATGAAAAACTTCAACATTCTTAACAATAGGAAAATGGAAATTAAAACTACATTGATATTCCATTTCACCCTGAATAAGAATTCATATAAGTAAGAAAACAAATGACAGCATATGCCAAAGAAGATGGGAAAAAAAAGACCATGTATATCCTGTTGGTAGAAATATAAATGAGTGCAGCCACTATGGAAATAAGTATGAAAGCTACTCAACGAATATCAAAGAGAATTATCATGTGATCCAGCAATTCTACTCCTGGCTATAAATCTAAGGGATCCTAAGTCAATATACTACAGTGGTTAATACTTGGGCATCCATGTTTGTTACCGCACTGCTCACAATAGCTAAGTTATGGTACCAGCCAAGATGTCCAAGAGTAGATAAAATATGGTACAGAGTTATTTAACTGTAAAGAAGAAAAAAATTGTGTGAATTATAGGAAAACAGATGAAACTAGAGATCATCATGTCAAATTAAAGAAAGGCAGATTCAGAAAAACAAATACTTTTCTCATATAAAAATCTAGAACTAATGTTTATTTAAATATATCATGTGTGAATATTATATATATCTATTGTCATATATGTATCTAAATCATGAAACGAGAAGAGGGACAGTATTATAGAATGGAATTTAGAGAGGAAACTGGAAGAAATAAGAAGATGTATTGGGAGAAGAAAGACAAATGCAGCCTCTCTTCTCTCATGTGCAAAATCCAACTCTCTCTCTCTCTCTCTCTCTCTCTCTCTCTCTCTCTCTCTCTCTGTCTCCAGTTTCCTCTCTAAATGTTCTTCAATGTCCTGTTATTGCTTGGTCCTTGAGGACAGGCTGGTGTAGATGCCTGAATGCTAACAAGAGGGAAGCTTAAATCTGAATTTGGCCCAGCCATCAGATTCATCGTGGATGCAGAAACTCCACCCACTCAGCAATAGTGCTTTCCAAAGTCTGAGACAGAATTGAATGCAATGCCTCCCTTAACTTGTATGATGTCCAGATGATTGGACTTGTGGAATCGCTCCTATTCTTGGTCCGGAAGCGATGAAACCATGGAAATAAATGTCAGTCTTTAAACAAAAGCTTCTCTCCTGCCTTGGCTGACGAGTAGTTTATTTGTGATTTGATACCATAATTTTAATTTTATAGTCTTCTTCTATGTCTATACATTAGTCTGTTTCATACTGCTGGTACTGTAAAATGTGGCCCTGAGTTCTGTCACTGACAAATGTGAGCATGAG